AAAAAATTGAATCCGATTAAATTATACAGAATTTCCTCTTTAATGTGATAACCATACTTCTTCTCTAAGCATATTTCACTGAATTTTTAAAATAATTTTTGAATTACTGACGTCAGAGTGAAATAGTAAAGACGCAATTTTGCAATATTTGGCCCACGGTTTCGCGAATATATTGATTTTTTGTGTGTAAAATCTACTATCGCACGGTGTTAGATGTATAAATCTCCGAAAATCCCGGGATTATATGCCAAAAATTCGGGACCTGAAAAAGGTCGCAATCCCGGGATTAACATTCCTACCAATTTTCAATTGCATTTCTACACATACATATGTATGTAGATATACACCCATTCATTTCAATTCAACGGAACTCTTTACCAAAACGTATCAATTTGAGTTTATTCATACGTATTTAAAAATTTATCTGCTGGCTGATGTGCGATAAACTAAGCACTAAATTTTTAATTGAAATTTTATCATTTTCATTCAGTATACGAGCTTTTTTACTATTGAAAGGAAATTCAATTTACTTACCTAGATTATTTAATTCAATTATGCAAACTACTTCGGATATAAAAAGGCTAAGCAGCGACTTGAGTATATACATTATTCTAGGCCTTCGCTTGGGAAAAGGTTGCTAAATTGCAGAAAAAGAAAATCATACCCTGAATTACAATTTATTTTTTTTACAGATCCTTCAAAAACAAAATCTACTAAAAATGGTTAGTTTCGAGGAAGCTTGCGAGTTGGCAAAGAATTTCACAAAGAAGCCCAGCGATTCGGCATACTTAGAGTTCTACGGTCTCTTCAAACAGGCCACCGTTGGCGATGTAAACATTGACAAGCCAGGCATTTTGGATTTGAAAAAGAAGGCAATGTGGGAGGCATGGAGCGCACACAAGGGACTTTCGCAAGAAGCCGCCAAGGAGGCGTACATTAAGGTTTACGAAAAATATGCGCCCACATATGCTTAGAAAGCAAGCTAATTATTTGTGAGTGTATGGCTGCTGTGTGGCCAAGTTAAATTTTATTTTTTTTTTAATAAATAAAGCAAGCAAAGCATAATGATCATTGAGCAAGTTCATTGAAATTTAGTGAAAGCGATTTAAATACATTACATACTTTTAGGCCCAACAAACTTTATTTAAGCGCATCTAATAAACGTAAACACAAACGCATACACATGCACATCACATTCAAATGGCCGCTTCCGATTGCGGCATGGCGATGACAGCGGCGATCAGCGGTTTCGTTTGGCGCGCTTTCAACAACATTACACGTATTTGCGAGTTGTCTGGCGTTAGTGTTGGTGGTGGTAGTTTATCGCTTGGATCCAAAACTGCTTCGGTTTCAAAGTCGATTTTTAGTGGCACGCCAGGCAAAATGCTGGGTAGCTATGTGAAAAAAAAGAATGAAATGCGACAGATTCAATAAAAATACATTTAGTAACTTCTAAGCCCCCACCTTTGCTATTGACTTTGCTATAGTATAGTGACGACGATCAGCATGCAACAACACCGTCAGATTGGAGGCCATCTTGTAGCTGGACATATTCTGTATAGTTAAATATAAACGAAACTCCGGACCCACGCCACACACCTCTGCTGATAGCTTGACAGGCGCATGTGTTATATCACCAGAAATAGTGGACTCAGAGGAGTTGATGGCATCGACGGTAGCGCGTGCGGCTACGTAGCGTAAGCGCCAAAGCTCTGCTTGAAAGGCACCATAGGTTGCTGCAAATGAGAAAATCATACAAAGAATATTCGTAGAGAATTTGTGGAGTTTTTCAATGCCTATAACTAATATAAAGTCTTTGTGGTTGCAAGATTTGGTTAGATTACTTAAGGCAAAGCTTATCCTCACTATACCTCACGTAAGACAACCTACAGTATCAAAACCTCACCTACAGCCACCTGATGCCTGCCTCGCGGGAGGCCATAAAGGTGATTTAAAAGAAATGGGTGGTGCTTTAATATAGTGTGGAGGGAGGTGAGAGATGTCTTAACCACAATATTAAGCACTGGCTTACAAAAAGTAGAATCTTTATTGATGTTTTCAAAACTGGCACAGGGTAAATAGCTGGAGTCCGCATCTCTATCAAAAATTCAGCTGCTAACAGTGAAGGAGTAGGTCTGAAATTAAAGCGCTGACCACTGTCATTGTATTCTGTCGAAAACCTGGGTTCACCAACAACCAAGAAATTCCCAAGCCGCAGTGATTGGAATCAATAAAATGTCGGGTTCTTGCAGGGCTTAACTGTCTTTACGGATGGGTCAAAGATGGAATGCGGAGTTGGTGCAGTTGGTTTTCATTGAGCAATATAACTTAAAGTCAACCTTCTGCCACCAGACTATGCCAGCGTTTTCCAGGCCGCAGCGTTCTCTATTAAGGAGTCAGTAAGTTACATCAAAGAGAATGTACCCGCGAGAACGCAGGTGAACATCTTCTCGGATAGCTAAGCGGCCATTCAGGCACTTTCTTCTAACTCTGTTAGATCTCAGCTAGTGGATGAATGTAGGAGGGAGCTGGCCTATAGAGATTAAAACAAAAATTACCGAAAGTTATCATTGGAAGGCCAAGCAGAGGTGGAACTGCACAGGATCTTACAGGATTACCCGGCATTTCTGGGTGTCCCACGATCCACTTAAAACCAAAAATCTCTTAGGAATAAACAAAACAGATGCCTACAGTATAGGACTGCCCTTCAATAGGTTGCGATGACCCGGGCTCAAAGTTAAAGATACATACGATAATTTGCCTTGGGAGAGCTCAGATATTCCCTGATCCGCCACTAGTTGTAGCATGCCCACTTTTGGCCATCGAAGCCACCACCAGAAACTGGATGAATGTTTCACAGAGCAATAACTGGGAGATTTCGAGGGGCTGCAGGTGAGCATAACTTATGTTGCTCTTAATCTCAAAAGGTCTAGATAGGTATTTGCTTTCATTGAGTAGATGGGACTGCACACAACTAGTGATATCGCTGAATGGCCATTCCTTTTGGGTCAAACATCTCTGCAAATGGCCTACATGACAGCCCAAATTACTCTTCTTGCCTTGGAAAAAAATTTTTTTCTACACATTGACATGAATTCTTCTTTTAAAAATCCAAGAGATCGTCAAGAGACTTTTCCACCACAACTATTTCCTTCTAGGGAGTTGTTGTGATAGATTTGCTGGCTGTCGGAAGGGGCTTTCACCAGCAGACCACGTTATCGTCTTTACCGTAATATTTTACTATTGCCTGGCGATATCTGTTAAATCTTACGGTTCTCCGGCTGCGTTTTAAAAAATGGCTTCGAGACGGGTTTAATTTTCTCCTATATTAGCAATTTTCAGTACTTTCGCTGTCTTACACATATAATCGTTTGGAATTAAAATTGGTCTTATGGGGCGTCCCTGAGGGCCGATGTCAGGGTTGTTTTACAGAGATGATATACATATCGTAGTTGTTTTCGAAAGAAGCTTTAAGGTTGACATATACAGCAAGATGACAGACAGCCGAAGCCAATCATCTCGCCTGAATCGCAACTACCAGCAACCACCAGCCCATAGTGGTATATTGGTCAGTATTTTTGCCGCCTCACCTTCACCAAACCCAACTTAAGTCGTATTTGCCTTAGGAATGTTAAATATCTTCTACATCACTTACCTTTGGCATTTTGCTTTTCCCTAGCCGCCTGCTCAACAAATATCGAGCTTTTCTTGGATTTTTCCAAAATCGTTTCAACCATCACCTTATTTTCGAGATTCCCTTTAAGCGCAAGCAATTCATTCGGATCGAAACCTGCAGTCCGCCTCAAAATTTTTAAAAATATTTCACCCTCAACGCTAACCATATTCAACACATAATCTTCGTGTCCAGTACGTCCGAAGCACATTGCACCGATTGTAGAGACCATGTGGAACTCATTAACTAAATATCGTTGTAGGTACAGTTGCACCAAGCCACCCTCGAGTGCCACACAACAAAGTGTGATGCCCAAATGTGGCAAACTAATTGGAATCATACACATCGGTAGTGCCGAAAGTTTATTCACATACAATTGCTTGCCCTTCTTCGAATAGCAAACGAGGCGGCAATCCATTGCGCACACCGTAATCGTTTGATCCACCGGCAACAGCATTAAACCGGTAAATGCTTGTGAAATTTTGAATATTTCTTGACCCTCCTTGATGGATTTTCGCAGCAGGTAAACGCCGCCATAGCGTGTGGCAACCACGATGCGAAAATCCGTCTCAAATGTGCCATGCACAGCTATCATGGATGGGGCCGTCTCATAGGCGCAAGTCTTTGCCTGATAGATTAAACCGAAACTTTGTGGTTCCAGCACCAGAATATCACCATTGTCGGTGGCAATGACCAAATGTGAGGGTGGATTCGCATCGCTGGATATTCGCTCCAGGCATGACATGGCAACTATGTTCGCATGACGCATTACCGTTGCTTCTGCATACTTCATAATGAAGTCCTGTGGGTGGGAGAGAGAGAGCGGTGTTGTTTTAGGAATAGGAAATAATAGTAGTTAGTAGGGTGATACATTACATTTTGTTCCTCTTGTGGCAGTTGTATTAGCTTTTGTGACTTTCGCGACATTTTGGGACGTTCAATGGTCTTCAGACTTTCCACCAGGGCTGGCTGCTGCTCCACGCGTACTGTCGGCAGCTTGCGCCAGAGATCTGTTTCCATTTCCTCTGCCTCTATGCCAGGCACTGTATACTTGTAATAAGGTTTTAAATTTCGGAAAAATAGCATTGATTCAGCAATGGCCACTGCAATGACTACAAAATAAAATACAAAATGTGTGTGTTTGTATGTATGTACTATGCTATTTTCTAGCATCAACTCTTCCAGTTAGAAGTTATCAACCTACTTGGCGTTTTTGGCTCCGATTCATCGTTGTAGAGACTTTGTATGGCAGCTGGTATGCCGTTGAGCTTCAATTCTGTATGCAGTGTAGTGCCACGAAAGATTTTCAAGGTCGCTGTCGGTTCATCGTCTAATGAGATGTCTGCCGCAATGAGTCGCACGTAATTGTCGCATTTAATGTCGCACAGCGTCATGCAGCTGGTGACGGTGTTTAGACGCGGTCGCGGCTCGTCTTCATCCACGATGACCTGCAGCCATTTGGAGTTGACGGACATGATTTCGAGTAAAGTAAAAAAGAATTTTTGTAAATTTCTAAATGCCTGCGAGCGAAGTTAAACTATTGCACAGCTGATGCCGTTTACTGCAGTTTATTTTGCACATAAAATTATTTACACTTTGTTTTGGTACACATTTGTTTACCTTAGCAACGCAGGACTTGCAAGCGTGTGGCCATATTTTTTAACTTATTTTATTGGTGTTAAAGGCCTTTGCTCTTTTGAAAGTACTCATAATTCTAGCTCCTGTAGAACTACTTTTAGACTGCTGTTTGCTTGTGAAGTGTGCATTGATGTTGTCACACAAATGCGGGGTCGTACAGTTTTAGGCCGTTGCCACAATATTCGATTCACGGCAAAAGCCTTTGCATATAACCACACCGACGATCACTAATTACATACAGGAAAAGTACCGGTGCGAGAAGCCCTAAGGTTAGGTTATCGCACAAAAGCGGAACGAACTAAGAATCCGGTGATACCCGAAATGTAATAAGCTTTCCAGCCAGCGAACAGCAAGTGTTGGATTGCTGCGGAAGAACACATGGCAAGTGTACGATCTATGGTAAAGCCAAGGACACTAAAGCCATTCACCACGTCATGCGTACCGTTTATCGTCTGGCTAGCTCAGCGAACAGAGAAGATAAGGAGGACTTCGTAAAGCTGCAAGTGGAAGTACTAACTATAAACGAATTCAATAAGTCTGGATTTTGAAGCGCCAACGAGCGGTAAAGAAAGTTTTTCTAAAGGCAACAGATCATAGGCGAAAAAGGGCCCAGTGGAAATGAGTCCGATCAAAATATCCAAATGTTGTATAAATGTAAAGCAGGACAATCCAAATCCGCCCTCATCATGTATAGACGCTGACGCTGAGGAGTGGTTGAAGTCCGAGATATGCCATAC